GCATTGCCCGGGATTTTGGTAGACGAGTGCCTTATAAAGGCAAAGCATTTTTCATGTCAATTTAAATAACCCTTTCGATTTATTAATGACACTAAGCATTTCGATGGAAAAAGCCTGCGATTCGGCCAGGGCCTGGGCAAAGAAATGGGATTTTATAAAAATAAATTAACAAAGTAAATAAATTCGAAAGCAACTAATCAAATTTTGACAATAAAATCCACCTCTCAGTGTTGCGTGGTAAACTTGAATGACACAACCAACAACTACAAAATATAACTAAATTCGTAGAAAAAAATCCAAACATTTTGTACAATCTATGTAGTTTAGTGCATTTATTTATATAAATATATATTTTATTTGAACGTATAAATATAATATCTTGAATTAAGTATAGCTGTGGTGGTTCACAGAAATCTAATGAAATGCCTTCCTATGACAAATAATGCGTGTGCTGGTTTTCGTTTTGAGAAAGTCACTTTAAATGACATTCAAGTTGAGAATTGAACTCATTCAAAGGAAGTTCTGTATATAATGGATATACACAGTCATATACGGAGATATATATAGAGATACACATTGATATCTATGACAACAGCCTATTGAAACAGACATACACACATGTATGTGCGTATGATAACACAATTCTACGCAATTTAAAAATGTCAGAAATTGAGTGATTTACAAGCTATAAACGGATGGATGTACGGGCTGCGAGTGGACGGGTCGGGCACACACACATGCTATCATTTTTTCGCCCGAATTATTTTAAGGAAAGAAGTTCATAATTTTTGGTCATATTTTATGAATATTTAGACAATAAAAAAATTTGAAGAACGATTGTTTTCAACTAAGACGTGCATAGATCAACGAAAGCAAAAAGGAAAAAATTACCAAAGAAAAATAACAGCAGGCGCAAATCCACTACTCGTAGAGCGGAAAAATTCCAAAATAGCTGCTACACGAGCGGTACGAGTCGGACTCAGTGTCCGACTGTCTCACGAACACAGACAACGGATTTCGTTAAGTTGCGTCACATTCGTTATGATAAAAAACATTCCCAAAATATGCTGGGGTCACAAATTAGGCAAATTTTAAACACAACGAATCACTAGGACATTTAGAGAAAGTAGTATTTACATTTCAACATGATGAACAATGCTAGTTTCCTTTGTCTTGTCCCTGCTTTATCTTTAGTCTTGTCCTTAGGATTTGATGGACGACTACAATGCGAAGAAAGTCAAAGTGCACAGCGGAGAAATTTTTATATCCTACTGAGCTGTGCCGACAACGGCACACACACAGTTTGATATTAGCTGACAGATGAGCGATTTATGCGTTACAAATGTCCGAGCAAATGTCAAAAAATAAAAATAAAAATAAAAATGAGACAAAAATTTAATTCCTATCTTCAAATTATAAAGAGAAGAAATTACAAAGAAAGTTACTCAAACACCAAATAATAGTCCACGGGAAAGTAGCACATTGACAAAGTAGTTGCTTGATCGTCGGCAAGTGTGTCAAATAAATCTTAAGACAAATGCTTGGAATTCGGAAAAGACGTTCAACGTAGCACCGCTGCATGTCCGTTTTCCAATTATGTGCTTTTCTGAAAATCATAAAAGAAAACCATTTCAGAATAAATTCACTACATTGAAAATAAAAATTTCAGTGCCTAATTCACATGAGAAACATTCTGAACGGCTTAATTTCAGATATTAGGCATTGGATTGTCATCTATTGCTTCAGAATTTATTAATGTGTAGGGTATAACATACACATGACAGCAATCTGTCGAATAAAATTGTGACGGTGGAATAGGTATGTATGGTACCGAAGAGTTTGAGTTAATACGAGTCATACCAAACTAACGCCAGGCGGGCTACAACTACTTCTGCCGGGTGGGCTTACGACTATACTTACATTATCTATTCAGCCATATCATGATGCATTAATAATAAATAGACATATATATGCATAAAGTCATTCGATTCAATTCGGAAAGGGGGAAAGGGGCGGCTGCAGCCTTCAAAACTCCCCACAAGACCTCCCAAGACCTCACATTCTGGACAAGTCTTTAATTATTAGTTATATGTACCAGTTTAATTACCAGCAAAACGTACAACAATTAATTTTTTTTTTATTGTCCTTATGTATAGCTAATCAATGAAGACAAAAAATAATTTTCAACTTTTCTAGTTGAGGTTTCCACCACCTTCCTTTCAGATTACAATGAATGGAGTAGGAAATCCTATTAAATATTTATTAAAAATATGGAAAAATTTTATGATTTCAGAAATAAAAAGGAAATATTACATATATTAAGTTCAGTAATAGTCAAGGTCAAAAATTCTATCAATAATTCGTTCACATTTGCACAGCTCACGAAGAATCTATAGTTCAATCAGTCCATTTGTTACTTGGTGCGGAAAGATGGCCAGGAGTCTGAAGTGGATGTTCTTCCATATGAAGTGTTCTTCCAATATGAATAGTTCATTCACAACCAAATTCTAGCAGTCCATGTGTTAATTAATTTGGAAGATGGACACTTCATTTAACATTTTGTGAAATAAGTAGAAAGCAGGTCTCTAAGATTTTAAAAAATAATACTACAACACTCATATATTTGGAAACCAAGTTACAATATATTACTTTAAGTAACAGATTCACATTTTTCAACAGATATTACTAAATCCTCCACATACTTGATATGTGCTACTACCTCTTAGAGTGCTATCATATCTCTAAGACTTGATTTTAATTTTATATATTTATATATATATATATATATATATGTAACGAATTAACTAAATAATAAAGAGATATAAAGGTGAAAAAGAGATATATATAATTTATATAATGTTATAACATATAAAAAATTATCAAAACAAAAAAAAGACAATAATTATTTATATACACTGAACTATTTTAGTCTTTGTGTTTAGGCCAGCTATCAACACTAGTATCTATTGTTGAATACTAAATCTAATATCATTATGTCAATTATACACACATACAACGTTATATATTAGACATATTTAATCCAAAAGACGCGTGTTCTATTGTCTCTTAAAATCAAAGCCGGTCACCGCTGTCAGCAGCTACACAAAACCTTAAAATTATGAATAATAATTCATAATTATATATACAGGGGAAAAGTAGTAGCGTTGCCTAATAAACGCAGTCTGCAGATACATATATTATACATTTTTTCATATAATTATATTAATTTTTTTTCTGTTTTTGTTTTCAGTTTTCATAATAGTTTTTATTTGGTGAGAAAATGTAATGTTATTATCGATACGCGGGTATGTGGAAAAATTTAATTCATGTATCTGACGGTCGAAAAATGCTGGAGCAGCGAGAGAAGAACATAATAAATTTGATAATGGACTTCTCTTCAGTGCCTTTTAAGACGCAATAAAACAGAAAAGTGTCTAAACTTTCCAGGAGTCTGTAATGAAATGAAAGAAAGCAGAAAACGCCTAGCAGAGCACAATGGCAATCGATGGAAAGCAACACCAACGAGAGCTGAAAGAAAACTCATAAATCTTCAAATTCGAATTGACGCAGTCATTATAATTACTTGGTGCACATCAGCACCGGAAATGTGCATCATAAAAATATTAAAACTAAAAATTTCAAACTCAACATTCAAACATACATCACCATACGCATCCCTTCACATGCACATGCTTAGCATGTACACGGGTGCCTGTTGTATGCCTGAGATACGTCAATAATTGTCTTAGTTCGAAGTAATAATTTCGGAGAACATTAAGTGCAAGCAAAGATAAAAGAAAGGCCGAGACAGAAATCAGAATCAAAATCGAAATCGAAATCGAAGCCGTTCCACTGCATTAGAGCAGACGAATGGTGTTTCAATGGCTTCTCTGTCATAAGTCATAAATCTGATAATTTTCTATAAGAAATCCATGTACTCAGATACGATGCAAGAAATGGAATCAGTAAATGTCGAGAAATGCTAAGAAATGCTAAGGCAAAGGCAGCCACACTGAGAGCAACGCTTCTAATAAATTTTCACATTGCAACTCAGTGAAAATAAAAAAAAGACAATTAGAGAAGAAAGAAGAAATTTTTCAAAAGTTGACGGGTTGTAAATCATCGTCATAATTTCCATATTTTCACATGGAAGCTGCTGGAAAATAGTGTGCGTCATAGGTAGGCACACAAACGCATCCTCGCTGCTGACGGTCCATTTAAATTCGAAGCGATCCTTGCTGCTATTCATCCGTGACCTGCTGTTGCTAATGTAATCAGTATAAATATTTATTGCTGATATGCTCTACTGATGTTGCAGCTTAATTACTACCGAGCACAACAGAATTAGAGTCTTCGTACTTAAATCAGAGAATATATACTGAAGTTACATTACAATCTGATAAATCTATTTTACTGTCATGATAATGAGAGTGTTAATATTATATGTTGAACGCTTAAATAACTACTGAGTTCACTTTAAAAATATATAGGTTTTGGTTTCCATTGATTTACACGTTCAAATTTTTAACCATTTCTTTTCAGACACAATATTTTATGAACTTTAATAAGTATTTTCTGTATCTATAGTACTGGACATCTCTTTCAGAAAGGTCTTATTCAAATATCCAAGACTTTTGTAGGTTAGCGCATTACAGTGATTGACCAAATGTTGTATTGACCTTCTAAACCTTCTTTAAAACATCATAACAACAGGTGATGATAAAGTTGCAAATCTTGCTGAAACTTGTCTACCAGATGGTATGTTGTTGACTCTCTTAATAGTTACATGTCTTTTTCAAAAATCTGATTCCATCAATCAATCTGATTACTAACTAGGGAAAATCTATTACTCTTGGCTTATATAATTATAAAATTTATAAAAACTATTGGCTTATATAATTATTTATGTATATTTAATTTAATTAAAATATACAATTTACAAAGTAGAAAGCTCAAAAAATATATTTTTTGCTTAAAAATTATGAGCAAAACAGCAACAATTCATTCCAAATTAAAAAATAATGCTTCATAAAACTAATTTATAGCATTCATAGGTTAGCGTAAGTCTGCAATAGGAACTTTCATCATTTTCCACAAGAGATCCAAACTTTTATTTATAATTTTGTGGGAGAACTATTAAAAGCGTCGCTGCAATTAGTAGTTCAAGTCAAGTTTGCGTTTTTATTGTAAATTTATTAAGCTTTGGATTTAAAGAAAATAAACAAAAAAAAAATTGAATATTCAGAATAATGTTATACAGGTCACTGTATACTTACCAAAGAAAAACTAAAATTTGATAGAACAAAGATTATAGTACGAAAAGTGACTTGATGAAGACTACTATTCTTCATAATTTTTCGAATATTCACTATTATATTCAGAATCAAAAAATTGTTGGAGGTCTATTTCTGAATCAAAGTCTGAGCCACTGCCATCTGTAAAAGCAATGGTGGTAGAATCATCCGACTCAGCATTGCCATCATCAGACTCTTCCGTATCTGTCATGTTACTATATTCGCTTCCATCTGTTTCGTCTTCTGATTCCTCGCAGTCATCAGGCTCCATTTCTAGCAAACCCTCTACCTCGGTCCACTCATCTGATTCCTGGGATTGATAAAAGTCTTCATATTCTGTGTTCTCTGTATCGGTATCTGTTTCTTCTGTATCTGTTTCAGTTTCTGAAGCAGTTACAGTACCATATGCATCAGTTTCGGATCCAGAATAAGCGACGTTGAAGGCAGTATTATCAAATGTTAAACCATCATCCGATGGTACATCGGATACGTCTATATCTGTAACGCAATCAGCAGTTTGTTCATTTTCGTGAACGGATTTGCAATATTCACCATTTAAAAAAAGTTCCTCAATTATGGCTTCATTACTTTGTTTACCTGGAGCACAAAAATTTGTTAAAAGAATTTTGTCCTTGCAGAATTTAATTTTTTTTAATCTTACCAGTGACAACATTACCAGTATTTTGAGCGATATCAGTGCCGGTCTTGAGAAAGCCACACATTTTGTCTTGCACAATTCTTCGTTCTAAAGCTTTTGGCTTTTTTTTATTCCTCTTTTCAATCTCGTGAACATCATCGCTATCTTGTTCGTATATACTATTATCAACGTTTTGCTCATCAATTGTAAAAAATTTAGTGTATTGATCGCAAAGTACATGATTAATGGTCTTTTGGTCTTCAGCTTGCTCTTCAACCACTCGCAGGCCATGAAAATAGTCATCTCTCCTCTTATCATTCATATCGCTATCTACTAAATGATCTATATATCTCACCTCTCCAAGTTCAACGGCTTCGCACATTTCATCATCAACATGCTCTGCATATTTGAAGGAGTTGGGTCTCACTTGTCCAATTTTTAGTAGATTGATTTCAACAAATTCTTTGTCATCACACTTAAAAGCTTCGTTTTTTTGTTTATAAGACGTCTTTTCAGCAATTCTGATATCATTAGCTTCACTAGGTTGTCCAGATATAATATCATTACTACGTGTCTGTTGTCCAAACAATGGCGTACCAAATACATCGCAATGACCAATACTTATGACGTCATCAAGATTTTGTTCAACATATTGCAAGCTTTCAAATTCTATTGGTGATACAAATTTTTTTTTTGCAGCTTTCTTTTTTTTCAAAAGTTTGCGGACCTTTAAATTTTTTTGCTCCACTTCGACATTATTTGGTGTTTGCCTAATAATATCTTCCTGGAAAAATTTCAAACCACCAGTTCTCTTGTCAATCTCTTTTGTTTTGACAACATTCAAGTAATCTTCATTTTTATTGTTCATTTTGGAAGAATGAAGTGATTGCATAGCGCTTGATTGCTCTTTAAGTTCAATGCAACGAATAGTTTGTTTACCAACATTGGGTAAAGTAACTTTGAGACCACAATAGCGGTGTTCAGTAGTGTATCCAGTAGTGGTTTTCTCAAAATCTTTCTGCTCATGAACTCTGCTGTTACCATCCATCATTAGGCCAACAAGTTGGGTTTCACCAAAATCATTAACATTAGCTATCTTATTCCTAGGTTTTCGTTTTAAGTCAGAGCCTAGGGCAATTTTATCAATAAAATTATGATCCTGGCCTCTGACATTAGCACCTGCTACATATTCAATAAGTTGCATTTCATCAATGGCACCGATGATAGACTTCCTATCACAGTATGAGCAATTTTGCTCATAAGATGTATGATCACCACTTTCTAGTATACAACCGAGTCTCCCTTCAAAAAATCCACTGGTTTTCGGTATTTGATTATCAGTTGTCGGTCTAAGTTCAACTTCAATAGTTAGTTGATCAACGAATTTCTGCACATAAGTTTTGGTATCTCCATCTGCTACTGCACTACCCAACTTCTTTTCAGAAATGGTACTAGTATTAATTTCCTGGTTATTAAGAGCCTGATCATGCTTAGCATCTACAACAATTCGATCAGGAAATTGCGGCACAAAAACTTTTGTACTAACGTTCATTACCGTACCATCAAGTTTTCTTTGACAATGATCACTGCGGTGAGATATTGGTTTAGTAAAATTCATTCTACATTCATTCTTTGCAGTAATTTGATCATCAATTTTCATTATAGAAAGGTTAGCATTTTCAGCTAATACTATTTCACCAAGTTTTTCCTTGGTAGTACTCATACCACTAAGCGCTTGTTGACTAAGCACCTGTGTAACTTTAGCATCTAATGTCATTCGATCATCAACTTCTTGCTCATGTACGATGACATTACGAGGTACAACTAAAGCACCAGGCTTCCAATCACAAATGTTCTTAATTCCTGATACTGAATACCCAAGCATTTGTCCCGTACCTGTGAAGCCATTATTGCTTTGCTGACTAAAAAGGGAATTATTAAACCGCAGGCTGCTAATTTTAGGTTTATCAAGCTGAATACCACGGCTTATTTGTCCACCAGTATTCGCCAGTGTACCTCTACCGGCATTAAAAAACTGGTTACCATTCATTTGCTTTCCGCAATCCACGGATTTGTTGATTTCATTATTAATTTTATGTTTATTTGGCATTTTTGCGTCATAACCAATTGTGTGGCATTTACTTAAATACTCGCCAATGTTATTGGGCTGAGAAATGTGACGAATACTTTGGTGATCATCAACCTTATGAATAATATATCTCAATACTTTATCTATTATTTTAAGTACTTCTTTAGGAATTGCACTTACGTGTTTAGAAACTGTAGAAACTTTAGCATTAACATCAACACCCAATTGCTCCGAGGCCTTAACAGTATTGACCGGATTTTCGGCTTTAACGACAATGGCATTAGTTGGAGTATTTTGCCAAGACACACCAGCAGCTGGAGGTGATTCCTTTACAACATTTTTACTACCGTTTAGCATTTCTTTTGACTCCATTTCCGAAGTCTCAACTTTAGTTTCAAATTTTACGCTAACAATTTTGATTAACTCTAAGATGACTTTAAAAAAAACAAATAAAAACTTTTAATAGCCATTTTTAATTTTCCAAATGTCAATGATAATGTGATAAATGTAGAATGTAACATATATTATTATTATAACACTTATGGCATATTTTTTATTTTTTTTTATAATCTATGTTCCAGAAAGTTATCTTAAGTCAATATGCAGTGAAAGAAATAAAAAATAATGACTTGGTTGGGTGTAGTGCTTGATCTGCAGGTACCATACTGCCTCACATACAAAACAATTATTTGCAGTTTTAATACTGCAATCGTCGCAATAAAGCTCTATACAAAAACTAGATGTATTCAGTTGAGTTTGCATGGTTCAACAAATCTTTCCATTTTACTGAAAAGCAGCATTGGCAACGACGAATGTTGTATTACATTATTTAAATTCGATGGAATGGATGTTTTTAGGTCTTAAGACTTATTACGATGACTGTATGAGGAAAATGGCAAAAAATAACTAATGGTTGAACACTCTGAGAGACTGTTCAGATAGAACTTTGCTGAAAATCTGCTTTTTTTTTATGGAGACACAGTTCTTCTGTTTTCAATATACGTCAATACGTTCAAATTATTGTAAAAGAAAGAAAGAGAAAAAATATAGCGATTTGCGAGCCTAATTCATAAGTTGTAAAATACGGAATTTTAGGAAATAATGAAAATAACATATAGCCATTGCTAGAAGAAACATTCGAAGAAGAATCCGCATTTAAAATCAAGCCAAACTTTGTTTTATAAAAAAGAAAAGATAAACATGGATTGTTTTTGCATTTCGGATTTTTAATGAAAAAGTAACATACATAATAAACTCCCTAAGACTCGTCCACATACTACACAGACTATCACAGCTAGCCTGATGAGGATATCATAAAATGTGAAAGACTGATTCATTATATCAAATGATCCATTTTTATGCGTAATCTGATCCAAGTCTATTTCTAAATAAACGATCAAATCTGAGACTGTTTTAAGCACATTGAAATGGTTAGCGAAATCTATTTCAAAATGTTGAAGTCTAAGAGACTTCAGTAATAACAATGATAAAGAGTAGAGAATATAATTGACAATTCGGGATTGACAGAATGATTTATTGTGTTCGTTCAATAAATGAACTTAAATGGCGAACAAGACAAAAAACAAAAAACAAAACACAAAAAACGACGAACGAAAAACCCAACTATTTCTGCTTTGAAATAGTTTTGGTATAAGTCTCCTCATAAATTTCTAATAGACAAACACTAGCGAACAACAACAACTGTTGTAATAACGCCGCCGCCTCTAACGACAAGCCGAACGAAGAACGAACACTGTATATGCACACACACACACACACACACACAAAAAGTGAAGAAAAGTGAAAAAAGGCTTTGCGTTCGCTTAAGCAATTGATGTCGAGCATTTCTAAGATCAACAAAGCAAGATGGCTGCTGACTAATGAAGCTCGCTTGCCTTACTTTGTTTTTTCGCTTGCCTAATGTTGGCACTTTGAATTGACATTTTATGTGTCAAATAAGGGTTTCTCCCCTCGCACTCGCACACGCACACACACTACACTAAATACACTTACGTAAAGTGTGCGTATAAACGTACCTTAGCACGCACATTTGCGTTTTATATTTGTTCGTTTGTTTGGCTGCATGGATGTGTGTACATATGTACACCAATTACGCTTTTGTTGATGCTGTTGATGGGCTGTGCTACTTAAATACGCATTGCAAGCACTAACCACTAAAACAACATCGTCATCAACTATCTCATTATCATTATCATCATCATTAACATCATTATTGGGAATGTCCACGTCCGTGTCAAAGTCAACTTCATTGTGCTTCGAATATGGTTTACATTAGGTTTGCTCTGCATTTTCAAGTCGTGCTTTCTCACTTTAATTTTACTCGTTTCGAACATGGATGTGGATGTGGATATCGAGAGAGACTTGTATTTTGAGTTTGATTTTGGATTTTCTGTGCTTGGTGATTTAACAACTTTTATGGGACATTGATATCCTATTAGGCAAGTAAGTAGCGAGTAAGTATAATTTAAAATCCTTGCATATCTGTGCATTCTCAATTTGCCCAATTGCCTATACGTCTACTTATCTATCTGTCTATTGCAAAAAATATCGAAGTGCTGTAACGAGCAGTTTACTTTCTATTGATTTGATGTTGATTTGATGCTGATGCTGATGCTGATGCCTTCTTCTAATAACTGCACATGAAAGCACATCAGATCTAATGCGTTTGCCTTGGAGACATGTGTGTACGTCGCGTGCGTACACACATAAATCTGTCATTTTATTTTTTTCTTTTTTTTCGATTTCATTTTATTATTTACTTTTTTACGCACACATTTACATTGATACTACGTATATATAATTGCCACACTGTCATTTAGACTGAAATTATGATCCTGAAAAGTAGATTATCCTTGATTTATTGTCACATTATTTAGAGTTTGAAAGCCGTTGCGCATTTGTAAACACAGGGTTGCATGGGAAGATGGAAAGATGGAAAGATGGAAAGAATAGTGAAATTTTTCATGTGACGTGACGGAAACGTATTTTTTCCTTTCTTTTTTGCTCATCTGTTGTAAAAGAAAGTCCTTTGTGGTTTAATTTCCAAGAAAAATCTTTCAACTTATTTTTGTAACATGAAAATGCTGTTTATCCAGTACTATGCAAGACCATGTCAACGAGTAAAGAGTACTTAGTCGTTTATTAATTCTATTTTTTGTAGGTATGCATATTAGTATTTTATATACATTAAGACCGAAAAGTTTTCGGAAATTCTCATTTAAAATTCGCGCGCTGTATATTTTTCGATATTTTAAGTTTATGTAGTTTGGCAGCAATTAAGGACAATTACTATGCCAAAAATGAGCGCGATCTGTCAGACAGTTCGTTTACGGCAGCTGTTGAAACCAGTTCACCTCAGTAGTGCGTTGCGAAAAAAACAATGGAAAAAAATATTGGACAAAGAGTTTGCATCAAATTTTGTGTTTCGAACGAAATTTCGTGTGCAGAATCGTTGCGAATGCTACAAAAGGCTTATGGGGAATCAGTTTTATCGAAAACTCAAGTTTATGAGTGGTACAAAGCCTTTCAGGACGGTCGTACGACCGTCGAAGACATTTCGCAACGCACTACTGAGGGGAACTGGTTTCAACAGCTGCCGTAAACGAACTGTCTGACAGATCGCGCTCATTTTTGGCATAGTAATTAAGGACAGTGCTGCCAAACTACATAAACTTAAAATATCGAAAAATATACAGCGCGCGAATTTTAAATGAGAATTTCCGAAAACTTTTCAGTCTTAATAATATATAATATGTTGTATTATATACATATATATAATATATATATAGATTACGGTGGCCGTAATATGTATGGGGGTAAAAAAAATGTGTTCGAATTTTGGATGCCACCCCCTAAATTTATTCGAATACGCAAAAACTACTAAATGTGAAGTTTTAGACTAATCGAATAATGTTCAGAGGTCGCTTATCGACATAAAATTTCGGAAAAATGCTAATTTTTTCACTTTTTTCAAATTTCTTCTCCCATCTCGCATCTTTTTTACCTATGACTATTTGTACCAAATTAATATTCATCTTTAGCATATTAGCTTTCAAATAAGGTAAAAATCATTAAATTTGATCCTCAATTAACTAAATTATTACTAAAAGCACTGAACATTCTTGTCGATGAGTGTGTACTCAATCGCACCACAATACAAGGCAAACGCAAGTTAGTCAGAAAGCAACGAGCTACGGATACTAAATTAAGTTTTAAAGTGTGAAATATTGTCAATATACAAGTATCTTTATAATACATTCATTATTTTTATAATTTTTAATTTACTAGTTGCAGGGTGATATTGTATAGTGCGAGGGAAAAGTTCTTCCAGATATAGCAGGAAGGGACATAACTAATAGATTACCCATTTTAGTTAGTCATGAATACAATTACTAGGTATCCCAAAAATTACATCTTCAACAGGAAAGGAAATTGCTGATACTGTATATGAACTTTTGACTGATTGGAATATAGAGAATCAAGTTTCTGCTTGTTGTTTTGACACTTACTTATGTGACCATAACAACCCCAGGCGCCTCTGCCGCGTGCGCGCCTTTTTCAGTCTCGTATATCAAGTCCAGTCAGTACTCTCTCAACTTGATCACTCCACCGGAGAGACGGTCTACCTCTACGTCTTCTTCCGCCAACTACTGCTTCAAACACCTTTTTCGCCGGACCATCTTCATCCATTCTCACGACATGACCAAGCCAGCGAAGCCGCTGGATGTTAATGCGCTGAATTACATCAATGTCGTGGTAAAGCTCGTACAGCTCGTGGTTTATTCTAATGCAGTAGTCGTCGTCAACTCATAGAGGACCAAAGATCTTACGATTTTTTGACACAGTTTTGACACTACACCATGTAATACTGTTAGATATTCGGAAGCTACTGCCTTGCCTTGTAAGCACCATATATATGAGCTTATTCTCAGAGCTGTATTTGAAAGCAAATTTCCTGTTATCTCAGGATAAGATGAACCGCTATTTAAATGATTTCAGTTAAAATGGAATACAATTGACAAAACTAACTATTAAAATGTTTTCCAAAATAATGAAATAAAGAAAATTCTCTTAGGTGTTAAGAATGAAATAACAACTTTTTGTTACAAAGAACTACAAAAATCAATTTGCAGAAATGACTATAAAGAACTATTGCAACTACTCATTATTTTTTTGGGAGGAAGCTCATCAGCAATATTCCGCTACTCTGGACCAATGCACCATGCTCGTTGGATGTCCAAAGCCCTTTACTGCTTAAAGATATATTTATTTCGAAATGAGTTCACATTGTCGTCTTTCGAAGAGCAAAAGCTAAAAGAAAACTGTTTGTTCATAACACATGTTTACTTAAAATCTTGATTCAAATGTGTTATAGCATCAGAAGCAGCTTACCAAGATTTTATTTTATAAAAGAAATGTATAATTATAGATGCAT